GGGGTAAAACAAATCGTCCGAAAAAAAGTATGGTCTATAGCTCATGGTTTTTACCAAAATTGGCCAATTTTTTACAAGGTCGTTTTTCCCAGATTCGGCCACATGGGCCTAATTGTGTATCATCCGATTTATCGTTGTTTAATCTTAAAACTATAGGCTTTAAGTGGCATTTATCAACCTGCAGAGGACTCTTGTGATCTGTAGGTGTCATGGAATACGACACATCTGGAAAATGGAGGGGTCAGAAAAATCGTCCAAAAAAAAGTATGGGCTATAGCTCACGGTTTTTGCCAAAATTGGCCAATTTTTAACCTGGTCGTTTTTCACAGATTCGGCCACATGGGCCTAATTGAGTATCATCCGAATTATCGTTGTTTAATCTTAAAACTATAGGCTTTAAGTGGCATTTATCAACCTGCAGAGGACTCTTGTGATCTGTAGGTGTCATGGAATACAGATGTGTATAAGAGACAGAGTGTACACCATGCTATCCACGTTACATGGAAACTGACTCGTATTATTTATTGGCTAACGAAACTTAAAATCACTAAATATTGCTAGTTACACGTTTTCTTTAAAAAAAGCCTACCTTAGTTTTGTTGATACGTACGAATATACTTTAGACCTATAATCATAAACAAAATATGGAGGGGTTTTTTATTGCTAAAATACACCTTTGTCCACCATTTCCGTCCAAAAAAGTATGGGCTATAGCTCATGGTTTTTGCCAAAATTGGCCAATTTTTAACCTGGTCGTTTTTCACAGATTCGGCCACATGGGCCTAATTGAGTATCATCCGAATTATCGTTGTTTAATCTTAAAAATAGGTTTTAAGTGGCATTTATCAACCTGCAGAGGACTCTTGTGATCTGTAGGTTTCATGGAATACGAAACATCTGGAAAATTGCGGGGTAAAACAAATCGTCCGAAAAAAGTATGGTCTATAGCTCATGGTTTTTACCAACATTGGCAAATTTTTTACAAGGTCGTTTTTCCCAGATTCGGCCACATGGGCCTAATTGTGTATCATCCGATTTATCGTTGTTTAATCTTAAAACTATAGGCTTTAAGTGGCATTTATCAACCTGCAGAGGACCCTCGTGATCTGTAGGTTTCATGGAATACGAAACATTTGAAAAATGGAGGGGTCAGAAAAATCGTCCAAAAAAAAGTATGGGCTCATGGTTTTCATCTAAATTGGCCAATTTTTAACCTGGTTGTTTTTTCAAGATTCAGCCACATGGAACCCAATTGAGTATTATCCGACTTATCGTTATTTAAGCTTAAAAATAGGTTTTAAGTGGCATTTATCAACCTGCAGAGGACTCTTGTGATCTGTAGGTTTCATGGAATACGAAACATCTGGAAAATGGCGGGGTAAAAAAAATCGTCCAAAAAAAAGTATGGGTTATAGCTCATGGTTTTTACCAAAATTGGCAAATTTTTTACAAGGTCGTTTTTCCCAGATTCGGCCACATGGGCCTAATTGTGTATCATCCGATTTATCGTTATTTAATCTTAAAACTATAGGCTTTAAGTGGCATTTATCAACCTGCAGAGGACCCTCGTGATCTGTAGGTGTCATGGAATACGAAACATCTGAAAAATGGAGGGGTCAGAAAAATCGTCCAAAAAA